TTGAATATTATTTACGATTTTAACTTTATATACAAGTGCCAAAATACTATAATTCTACTTTTATGTCATGCCTTACGTGTACTTGAAGAGAATCCATGCAGAAGTTTTACCATGTGGTCCTGGGGTTGAGTTAAGGTATAAAATACCAATACTATATTCTGTTGAACTTGCTTTCAGTCAACTTTCAGGTGCATTCAGTATAATGAAAACTTGAATAAAATCAACTTTGGTTTGGATAATATCACTTAAGGGATTGATGATAGTTGTCATAATTTACAGTGTAAATGAGTTTTAGTTAGTTTGACCGGAAATTCATGTGCAGAAACTTATTAAGCATAATTCTTCCTCATCATCAACAACTTACTGAGAAACCCTCTTTTTAGCTAAGAGATAATTGTTTTTGAATTGTCATTCACAATAGTGGGTGTGTGTGTGTATACATATATAAGTGTACTATTACAAGTACATAAAATTTGTTCACAGTTTACTGTTCCAATTTGTATTTTTAGCTGAAGCAGTATAAATCACAAGAGTTTCTTTTTTTTTATCCTGGCTTAGGTGTACCTGGAAAACAAATATTATGCTGCATAATCATTGCATACACTAACATTTTACTAGTTAATCACACTATGTTTCGCACTGTTTCTCAACTTCTTTTATTCTCACAATGTAAATGTTTCAAGAAACCTAAATTTCATTTAGTTCAAGACAAAAATGAATTTAGTACGGAAACAGATCTGAAAATAGTACCATTTAAGCAAGTTGGGAATTTGTTAAATAGTTTTAACCTAATTCAAAACATAATTCAAAATGCCACCTCCACATACAAATACCTCAAGTAATTTAGAAGAGCTCATGACACTGTTAGAGGTGATAATCTCAGTAGCATCCAAATTGTCTATTACAGTAGCTGTAAAGAAAGCAAACTATAATCACTAAAGTTAAGTGTATTCTACCCAGTATGATAATTGTCAACAGAATTAACTATATATATTACAATTACTTTACAAAAAGAAACAAAACTGTAAACAGAATATTGGAATAAGTTACTTTTTTTATTTTTATCAAGTGTTAAAGCTACACAAAAATTATAAATTTAGTGAAACTGTAGTCTTCATAAGATGCATTATGTGTACAAAAATTGCATGTATATCAAGAATGTAACAGTGTCTAAACACTGGAATACAAGGCAGTAACACTTGTTTTATGTGCTATAATTTGCCTTAAACAAGCAACAGCTTGCAATTTTTCTAAGAATGAAGAAAAGCCTCATCTTGATTTGTAGGACAGTTACTTTGAAATCACAAAATATAACTTTACCCCCCCCCCCCAAGAAATTCAAGTAAAACATACTGAAAAATAGTGACATTTTAGAGATAAATCTTATAATTACACTTATTTATGCTATTGCTTTGGTAAATTATATTCCAAAAAATGAATAAGACTAATACCAAAAATAAAGGAAGTGGATAAACTTTAAACTCTGTAATTTCAATTTTGTAATAAATAAACAATTTTAAAAACTCCTTAATGTGACGAAAAGATCATATAGTATGGTTACTGCTTCACTTTTATTAGTATATGCATAATATATATACCTATAAATTATTTCTACAGAATATCTTAAAGAATGGTATTAGTAATGCACTTTATGTTGGTGCAAGCTTAAGAAAGTTTTGAATTATCTTGGAGTGTTAAAAAAAAGTAAATAAAATATTATCTCACCTTTGTATTTTATATTACCAAGATGTAAGAGAGCTCCTAAAATTTTTAATATTTCCCATATCTCAGAGTCTGAGAACATTAAAACTTTCATGGCTGATCGGATATCAGCAAATTCAGCAGCATCATCTCGACCTTCACAAGTGATACATTCTCCCTGCATAACAAAAATACAAGATGAAAAATAACTGTAACTCATTTTTAACACATAATACAGGTGTATTAAAGCAAAACCAATGTTTAATACCACACAATATATGTTGGTTTTTCTTCAATATATCTGTGTTAATGAAAATACACACTAGTGTCATCCTAATCTTAACATTTTTAGTGTTAAAATTTGCATTTACAGAAATTTTGGCCAAGTTCACATGCTATTTTCTTTCTTATTAAAAAAAAAATCATTCTAGTGGTCCTAATGGGTTAGGTTTGTTGAAGTTAGTTTGGACACATCAAACTTTAAGCTATTACCTTCTCTTCACTTGTCATCTTATTTCTAAATATTGCAGCATTAAAAATACATTAAGTTTGTTTTCACTTTGTTGTGCCATTTTAATTAACTGATTAATATTGTTCATTTGAAAATAAACTATAGGGTGATGAATTCTTCAAACAAAATAATATTTTATTGTTATCTTTCTTCTTCCTCAAAGTCTGAAGTACTGCTATGAAGTACTTGTGTGGAGAAAATAAATGCATAAAAAAGTGGGTTACTTTGAGAAAATGTTTTAAATATTTTACAATATCACCAAATTGCTAATAAAGGCTCACTATTAAAAAAATACAATCTAAATCTCTAAACATAACACATTTTCTATCTGAAAAACAAAATTAAATGCTGGCTTTGTTATTAGTGCCCTTGAATGCCAAACAATTTCTGAAGAAGAAGCTAGTTTCATGACAGTTATTTACTAAATGTAAATTGAGACAATAACTGGCAAGAAACATTATCTATTCACTGATAGACATAAGCTAGAAATTAAAACTACCTAAAATAAAGCACTTTCATATATTTGTCTTGCAATTTAAATAAAAGTAGTTTACCTGGAGGAAAAATTCATTTTATAAAAACATATTAAATATCTTGCTGTAACTTAAATTCCCTTTTTGAACTCTTGAAAAGTTTTTAAAACTATTTTTTTTGTTTTTCAGACACTGCATTTTGAAATGTGAAAACCTAACTAAATATGGCAAAATACCTGGGTTAGGTAAAAGTACTTAGAAGTATCTTGAAGTTCTAACTTTTGTTTTTCTTCTTTGGTCATTCCTGCTAACATGCAATAGAAAATGTGGTAGTTTCTTTCATCTTGGGCCTGAAAATATCACCAATATATATATATATATAAAACCATCAACAAAATTCACCTGTGGATACAAATAACAAAACTCTGGAATATCAGACTATTCTATTTTTTCTATTCTTTATTAATTTCTTCAACCAGTTTTGTCAAAAGTCACTCTTCAAGATATAATATTACTGAGAATCTATAACAAAAACGTATAAATACTGTTTTTCAACTAAACATAAATAATCTAAGTTAAATACATGTATTTTCCAAATGTACAAACATATAATACACTCCATATACAAGTTAAGTGCATCAAAAAAAGGTCAAAAATAAACAGAACAGTTTCTAATATGTTAATACATAATATCAGTGTAATCATTCATTAACCGTTAGTGTTATGATTGATTTCATTATGGATTAAAAAAATATTTATTTCAAAGGAAAGAAACATGGGAAACTAGGTCAATGAATGAAGATGTGAGAACTCTTAAAGTAATGATTGGTATATTCTAGTTTTAGCAAAAAAAAATACATTTAGGAAAAAAAAATCCTAGTGAAGAAAAAACATGCATATTTAACATCACCATGTAAAATGTTAAGTTTATATGATGATACAAAAAATGTAATGTTATTGATAAAGTTACTATTTAATGAGAAGGTGTTAGAGGACTGACCTGACCAACAATACGGGACTTCTCAAGCAAATATTGTTCAATCTTCGCTCCTTCAATAACTCCTTGTTTATTAAAATGAATGTCAATGTACTTCCCAAACCTACTTGAATTATCATTCCTTATTGTCTTTGCATTCCCAAAAGCTAAAATTAAGTTAGAAAATATACGTATAAACACAGACACATACACACACATACATTGCAACATGATTTAAAGGTAATAAAACTTGAAATAAAAACAAAAAAGAGGCATAGCTAGTTGAAATATATTTTAATTTATTATTATTAACATGCTTGAAAGATATATAACAGTGAAAATTTTGACTGGAAGAAGTTTTATTAACTGAATATCACGTATAGTATGATTTTTCCATGTATATATGTGTGTGTGGTAAAACAATTTGGTGAATAAATTGTTTTCTAAAAACTTGTATATTTCTTTTAATCATATTATATTTAGCAAAAAATCAGGCTACTGCATTATTTTCATTCAGGAGGCTTTTAAGAGGAGTTGTTGGTTACGTGATTTTAGTCAGCTTAAGGTTGCGAAAAGAAAAAGGTTATACAAGACAGGAATATATATTATTTTGAAAACAAACTACACCATGAAAATAAAGTAAAACAATACAGTAGAAAATCATAAGTTTGACCAACTTTTTTTTTCTACCTAACAAGCAATTATTAAAATCATACCGAATTAGTATTCTGATGCTGTGGGAACATTTTTTGCTTTTTTAAAATAGAAATTTTAATATATTCCAGGTATTGTTGTAGAGCAGCCATGTCACTAAGATTGTTGAACTAAGTGAAATGAAATATGCTATTTTTGAGTAGTGAGACTAAGTGGCACAATATTATTATTATTTGTTTTTTCTTAAACAAAAGAAAGATGTATAATTAATAAATACAATTTTCAATTAAAGTTCATAACCAATTTTTATAGACTAAATACTTGAATAAAGTCAACATTAGAATAAAAGCTAGATCAACTGAGAGAAGACCAGAAAGTTTTTTTTTTTAGGAAAAGTGACAATTAAAATCTTCACAAAACCATGAAAATATAAAGGTATACAATGATTGATAAATTTATCTTCTCTTTCAATGAATTTGAAATATAATCAATATGAAACTATTGATAACAATCGTTAATTTTGAGATTTAAAATTTAAGACTGTTATTTTTAGTAGGGTACAACAGCTAAAACTGGTAGAAAAACTTTGGGTACAGTGTTATCTAAACTGTTTAAATAATAGCCACAACACATAAAACTACTGTATTCACACCTTCTAAAATAGGGTTTGCTTCAAGAATCTGTTGTTCTATCCAGGAATGTTGCCCACTAATAGCTGCCAGATACTGCAAAATAAGCTTTGTACTTTCTGTTTTTCCTGCTCCACTCTCTCCACTAAGTAACCAGAATAAATTAAGTGAAATTGGTTAGCTGTATTTGATTTAACTGTACATCATATAAAATAAATTAACATAGAAAAGTTTCTTGCTTTTTGAAGTTTGCTTGCTCTTGTTCAGCTGCAAATTATGATTTATTATTCTGGCTTTAGAACATAAAATGCCTAAACGAGAATTAATTATGCACATTTGATGTTTCATAATGCAGGTAATGTAAACTATTAAATTTAAGATTAGTATGTATCCACTTACAACATGGCATTTTGAATATTTTAAGAGTTTTTGTATCACTCTATTGTTATGAATAGAAGAGCATGTATTTGCCAAAATTTCTTTTGTTTTATCGTTACTTAGGTTCTAAACACAGAATGTTTAAGGTCTTATAAATTATTATGCTATTCATGCAAATAATCATTTTTTTAAACTTACCTCAGAAATGTACTGTTTATTAATTTTTTTTTACTACCACTGGTTTTAAGTAAGTGTAAGTACATGCAATCTAAATTATGATAAGCAAATTCATAATTAAAACGTAAACCAATATCTGATGTTCAAAAGTTAACAAATTGCTATTCTATATAATATATATGTAACAACCATTTCCAAAGTTTTGAAGAGGTAACCAAATTTTTGAGAATTTTATTAAATTTTAAATTAATTCTCAATGAAAGAGGTGATACAACCACAAATCAATTAATTTATCATGCCCAAATATATATATATATAAAGAAAAACAAAACAATATGTTTCTCACCTAATTATTATACATTGATCTTGTTGGTAACGTTTCATGGAATGATAAGAATTATCTCCAATGGCAAAAATATGAGGTGGTAATTCTCCAATCTTTCTGTCTTTGTATAACTTAATCTGTTCAGCTGTATAAATGGGTAGAATTTGGTAGGGATTGACAGCCACAAGAATGGAACCTGTGTATGTCTGAATGTAGAGTACAAAGACTTTTTTTTAATTATAATGACATGAAAATCCAGAAAAAATGATTATACACACACAGTAAAGATAAATATTACTAAAGCTACCAAATGAAACAACTGTTTTTAAACAAAACAAAAACAACATACATAGATTAAATTTTCATTATAACGAATCAATAAGTTCCTAAGGATGCCTGCTTCATGAAGGTCACCTAGTGATATCATATCTTCCACTCCCTGGATAGAGGTTGGGTGCATCGCTTTGATTCGTCTCTCTGGTGTTAGCCATTGTTCCTGTGAAGTAAAACAAATTAACAACTTATTCACTGTTTGTCAAATTTTAAACTTGTATGTATAATTAAAAAGATAAGTCTAATAAGTCTACCAATAAGTCTAAAATAAAATAAATAATTATCAATATTTGATCAGAACTGTTTAAAACTAATAGCTTCTTCTTTTGTGTAAATATGTAATCCATCATCCACTTCCTTTAAACGTAATAAGTAAAAAGTATGATCATAAAAGCTACTATGAGTTATAAAAATTTTCATTGCCCATATTTTCATTCCTTCAATATAGAATCCAACACCCACAGATGTAAACCACTTATATATATATATATATATACATTTTGTATGGGTAACGTGAGGCAAAATAAAACTTCACTGTGTAAAATGCACTGACAAAAATTTAAATCAAAGCTCCAGTTACCAATAAGTATAAACATGTAACATGAACAAAATCTGTCAGAACAGATGGAAAATGAAAGTTCGAAACTGTGCTGAAGATATGGAAATATTAAATTAGTTATAGTTACTATTACTCTTGCATCAGATTTTTATATCATTTTTTTGTCTCCATTTCTTTAACTTAATCATAAATTACATGAGTTTTCTTTTTTTTAAATATTTACTGTTTACTATAAAAATTTAATATGTAACAAATTTGTTAATTCAAGCTTTACACTAAATTCAGACTACTTTTTACAAGCAGATATTGATCCATCCATACGAAAATCAACTAATGTCACACTCACTGCAAGAACAAATCTTGTTTATGCAAATTATACAGATTCTCCCCTTATATCTTCTTTTACATTTTGCAAAAAACTATTTGTTCCAATATTCATTATCTCTTTTTTTTCAACTGTTGTTCACTTGATTTATTTAAAAATAGGCTTTATTTTAAATTTTGTTGTTGTTTTTCATATTGATTTTGATTTTGTCTGGCATGATGAATCCATTAAAAATTTCATTGTAACCATACTTCTCTCTTCTTATATTATGACTTTTTTATGTGATGGTTGTTTTAACTCCATGTCTGATAGAAGGTCAAAATTTTAAATTAAAAACTATTATATTACTTCATCTACCCCCCCCCCCCTCCATGTCACTGTGCCCCAGGTATCTCTCTCTTAGTTCTCTTATTTTAATATTATGATGACATTCTTCTTTCAGATTTTTGTTTTTTGTTGTTGTGTCTCAGTAATTTCAGATAAAAATTGCTCCCTGGAGTAAATGTGAGGAAGCCACTGGATACTTGTTAACCAATCTTCTCTTCTTTGGTTGTTTTTTTATAGCTCCTCAACACACTCATTTACATGATTTGGTCTGACTTTTTGCTCTTATTCAATTTTTTTCCAAGCAAGAGAATGAGGAGAAACTTGCATACATCTCTGTCACTCTATGAATATGCCAAAGTACTTCATCACCCAAAAAACAAATCTTCAAGTGGTCACAGCTGTGAATAATTGAAGATCACTAAAAAAACCATAAACTCTTGCATGATAGTTATCCACAAAGTTATCCCAAGTGGTCGAGCAGTAACCTTGAAGCCTTATAATGCTAAAATTCAGGGTTTGATTCCTGCAATGAGTATAGTGCAACTAGCCCATTGTGCAGCTTTGAGTTTAACAATAAACAAACAAATTCTAAATAGTCCTAACTTCAGGCAGGTACAAAAGAACTTTTCTTCACATGAACATATCACAGCATCCTTCAGTTCAAGGAAATCTTTAACTTTAATTTGAAGTACACTTAGTAGTAATTATACTGAATTTTTGGCGCTCCAACTGTAATATAATGTTATTATCAATACTTCTTGTTAAAAATTACTTTAATTGCTTAAATCAAAAGCTTCAACAGGACTCATTATGATGTAATTTATTATGTCTAATGATTGTATGGTTTAAATGTTCCAACAACTGTTTAACCTCTGATTACTGTATTTACTTATCTCTAAAAGACTTTACATACAAGATATGGTGGAGCTATGAACTAAAAGTTTATACTTGAAAAAAAACTCTAAGCCATTCTATGAGTTGCTATGCCACAGCAAAAATAAAATCAGAAGAAATAAGAACAAGAAATCCAACATTTTTGCTATGATATTTACAGACATTCCCAGAACTTGTGACTCAGTCATTACATAGATATTGTTATAAAAGGAAACATTGCATGATATTGCAAAGTTCTGATGACCTATTGAGGAGATATTGAAAATACCATTTTGATGAACAAAACGAGCCATCCCTACATAGGCAGTGCTACTGCCTGCCTGATATAGTTGTTGATAGAATTTATAAAAATGTTTATAACTTCTAGTGTGCTATAAAGTATAAATTGATTGATTTGATTAATAAAATTAATCAAGTTGTATGTTTTAATTTTGTATGGTTAGATTTTTATTTAAGTTTATTGCCCCAATTTGAGATCTAATTACAGTTTTAAATTCAGGAGGTCAAACCATTTCAACTGACGTATTTGACCATGCCCAAGAGCTCACAGATTAATTTACTCTCATCCTGCCTCAAAGAATTTGAATTTGAGGGTAGGCTGGTAGAGATACTGATGAGTAATAAAATCAAACTGGGTATACTACACCCCATGCTTGGTATTGCTGGTGCACAAAAATATAGCTAATAAAAAGGGCAAAAAAAAGGTCTCATAAGTTAATTTACTTTAATGCTGCCTAAAAGAATTTTGAGTGTCATGGTTATTGAGGATTCCCTCTTGTTTGATATAGTGTCAAAGAACCAGTATGGTTTCTCTAAGTGAAAGTCTTGTTTAACAAATATTTTGACATTCTTTGAAGATGTTACTGCAAGAG